CCCCAAAACCCCAAAACCCCAAAACCCCAAAACCCCTGAAGGATTAGATTCACCAAATATTTAGATAAGAGAAATAACATTGTGAACTATATAGTATTATTAAATATAGATAATTTATGTCAACTAACATCGATTCCACAACATACGAACCACTTATTCAGCCAACTCGCAGCTCAAAGATCAGAAAAGAAGCAATTCTCGCTATTGCTACTGTAGGTTTAATAGCTGTTGGCTTCGCACAAATGTTTGGACAATCTGATAGTCAAGATTTTCTTGGAGCTAAAAATCAGATGTCACTCATTGGAGTCTCTCAGTAAATTAATATTCCAGGTGAAAAATTCATCGATGTATATGTCGATTCAAATCAAATCATTGGTCTTACCTATGGTTTCTTAAGATCTAATTCTGTTTTGTATAAAGCAAGAGCTTATAACCCCATAGATAGAACATGGCGTGACTCTAATATGGAACATATTGTCTCTGATTTCAAGGTAAATGAGTAGGAAAAAAGAATATTTTTGATTCATGATAACACTAATAAACTAGTCGTTTTCCAACCTGATGGCTCCTATTATAATTGCGAATAAATCTAAGACGCAGCTCTTGATAGTAACGGAACTATCCACGCAATTATAAACAGAGAAGAAACTAGTGATACATATGAAAAATTGCGTGCAGATAAAAGTGGTGTGAAATTCTACGATAGTTATTTATATAAAAACATTGAAATTTATTAAGACAAACCAGTCCTTGTAACAGAGGATGGAAACTTAAAAGCCTTCTAATAACTTTGTGTTAGAGAAATCAGTGCAAGCTATCATAATGGCGGAGGACTTTTCGCCTTAGGTTGTGAATCGTAGGAATCAGACTCATCTCTCTACTAATTAATGAGATGGAACAACAATCTTAATGACTGGCAAAATATTGATAATGTTTTTGCTGAAAAGATTGCCACCTATTCAAATAATGTGGTATATATCTACAAATAATCACAAATATTTGAGATAACAATCAATGAATGATTAAGTTGACAACTTTAATCAACCCTTTGATGAACTGAGAATATTTACTCATTAAATTACTTAAATCTTTAACATATTCATACTTTTATTTCTTATGTACTTATTCACAGCCATTAAAATTCTGAAAGTCTAAACTTTTTCTCCAATTTCAATCTAATATTTTAAAAAATATCTTTAATAGGAATGATTAATTTCATTATTTAGTATAAATAAGAAAACTGATCGATAGTTACACAAGGGGTTTTGGGGTTTTGGGGTTTTGGGG